AAAACCCCCGAGAAAAGTCACATATCTATTTCATTCATTAACATTTGTAGCAAAGAAGATAATAAATATATAATATACTTTCTATAATATACTCTCTACCTTCTATAGAGGGTCTTCATTAGCCTCTAAGTCTTCTTAGGAATTCAATAAAAGCAATGACTCCCAGGCTTTATTAGGATTCTGCAGCAACACCAACCACTGTATATTTTATGGTGCAAGATTAACTTTTATTTGGCTACCAACGAGGTGAAAAATACTGTTTTAGTACAATGTTTCAGCCTTAGGTTTCATAAAACAGATCTCACAAGGATTTTCTATCTTGTCTTAGAGGAAATAACTCATTTTTGAAGCATTTACAAACATAACTCTATTAATTCAATCAAACAACTTTATATCTAGGTGGCCAAGTATATTTTCCCTTTAGAATTTCTCATCTGAATCCCCCCTAAAATCCTACTAGTTTATGTTTAGGAAGACTTATGTGTAATATGTTATACATATTAACTCTTATATGTTAGCTTTTCATTATAATTTTTAAAAACCACTGGTACTTTAATGTCAACAAACTTCTCTTCTTCTTTAAGCCAACGAAGAATTCTCTAAACACACATGCTCTAACACAGATGTGCAATTTCTGAGTTGTGTTTGTATTTCAGATTTTTTTTCATATGAGTTTATTCTTTTTGGTTTTATTTTCCCAGTTAAGTTTCTTCCACTGTCATTTTCTGTAAGTATTTCTAGGTATTTCTCCCATACTGTTGTCAGCTTTAACCCTTGATTTATCGTTTTTCCGTATTTTAGTTGAGCTACAACTGTGTTTAAAGGTATAGTGGAGGATTTTCGCAAATTTTTGAAAAGAGCCTCCCTCTGCACTTTTATAAGAAAAATGCGCATGCACAAACCTATATCTGCTCCCAAGAGGGAACGCCTATTAAACGTGCGAGACACAAGCCCATTGCTCTGTTTAAAAGTTGCTGTTTGCACTGTCATTCAAGTTTACTTTCCGAAAGAAGATTTGCAATTTTTCCACTATGTAAGTAAAAATAGGGACAAGCATGTAGGATGGCCTTACGTAAACATATGACCAGAATGATTGACAATTAGGAGGACCACTTATTTTGATGATCCACCTGGAAAAAGAACCTCTTACATTGTTCTTCATTCAGTTACCTTGCTTTCATTATGCCATAGCTTTTTTATATCTCATCTCCTAAATCATTACTAAATCTCCTGTTTATTCAGTTTTCATTGCTAGATTATTCTTTTACTCTTCCCTGTTCGTTGTCGTGTTTCTCTGGGATTTGTTTTATTATTTCATTATTAAATTACTATTCTTATCAAAGAAGGTGTATGATGTATGATGATCTATGGGAAAGTTTATCTAAATTAACGTTTACAAATCTTTTTGTTAAAGTAGCAAGTGTTCAGTTTATCAGAGAGTTTGAACTGCCTACTGTGGTTAAAATAAGTTTCATTGTGGCTTCATCAATCTTTTAAAACTGCAAATTTTTTGCCTTTCAACTCATTGACAAGCTCGTCCCATTTAGAAAACACAGAAGGCAAACTAACCCATGGGTAGGTGTCTAGGTGTCTATTTTAGACTTGTAAGTGACTGTGTTGCTCCCGACAGGCCTCCTCTGGAGCTGACCCGCCTGCTGCTCACCAGTCAATGCCATCAATCAACATGAGCTGTTCAGGTCGTTCACAATGGGCTGTGAGGCTTACCCAACTCTTTTTAAACATATAGCTTGAGGAGGTGTTTATGCGTTTGCATTTTTTTGTATATGACACAGACATGTGAGACTAACAGAACGTCAAACAATAAAGGAAATGCTAGGGTTACCGATTAAAGACATTAATTAAAGCATGCAATAGACAGGTTTGGTCAAAACAGGATGAAGTAAATGCATAGCTTTTTTGTTATTCCTTTAAAGTGTTTTCATTTCAAAAAGCTATTTGCTAAGCACATTTTTAAATACTACCCTCTTAAAGTCTCCTGTTCTGTTATTAAGGTCTCATGGAGAGTCAAATTTAACCTAATCTGCTGATCTTCCCTAGATTGATTATAGGTCGACCAAAGGATGATTCACACCTGACTTAATGTCATCTCACTACAGGCTAGCATTCTCAGTCCAGTTATCAGTAAAAAATAGCAGGAGACAGAGGCAAAATGTCTTTATTTGGTGCCTGTGTTTTTATTTTAAAGTAAGGGATAACTGATCCAACAGAGTGTGAGACAATATAATTATAGTTATTCTATTGAAGATGGGACAGATTATTAGTTACCAGGAATGAAACAACTTCTATTTACAGTTTATTTTAGTTAATAATATTTGTATTCCTTTGTAAAAACACAAATAAGAACATGCCACTTGTATTTTAATATTACAATCAAATAGAAAGTAGACAGATAAAACCTAAAATTATTTATTCACTATTCAGTGTTTCTTAAAAGTTATTATTTGTAAACGCCCCAATATGGGAGAAAAAATAGACTGAAAAAAGAAGGATTAAATATGTACTCTAAATTATGTGTAGATTTAATTTATAGAACTCTTTCCCTATTTCCCTGTTCCCTATTTAGGGAACCAGTGTGGATAAAAATACAATGTCATTCACCTTATCCTACTACAAAGAGCAGAAATGAATTCAGTTTATACTAAATCCCTACCTTTTTAATTACTGTCAAAACCCAGACACACTTAAACAGAAAATCTAAACTTTAGATGGAAAATTATTTCCTTTAGATTCTAAAGGATATAATTTTCCAAACTGCTCCAAGTAAATAAACCTCAAAATATGAGCTGCTAAAATGTTTTGCAGCACTCAGTGGTCTGTTTTCTCTCACATTGTAAAGGACATATTCCTTTCATCCAATCACGGTTGTTAGTTACAGCAGATGTGTGCAGATCATCTTTGCAAAAACTCACATCTATGTACACATCAAAACTTCACAGAAACCCATCATCTGCCGCCTACACCATATTTGCACTATATTTATAAGTGTATCAAAAACTAAAGGCAAAAGAGGCCCACATTTCCTTGCAAAGGTATTCATACTTATTGACTATTTTCAGTTATTTGTCACAGCCACAGGTTTAAGTGCATTTTATTCTATTTTCCTTTAACTTTAACAACACAAAATAGAAAATAATTATAAGGGAGGAGGAACATGCAACACAGTTTTTAGTTTTTTTCACAAATAAAAACCTTTTTACTCCATTATTAATTGTTTTCTATCTAAAGTCATTACTAGGTTTAATTCTAGAGGTTGACTTTGGCCTTCTAAATCATTAAAAAGCGTTGATCAAAGCTATTCCATTTTAGTTTTGGCAGTATGTTTTATATTATACTTTTTTCGAGGAACTACATGTAGACAAACAGCCCTAATTACAGGAAACAAGTGACACTGATCCACAGCAAACAGTCTGAAAAACACTATCGAGGTAAAAGCCAGGTGGTCAGAGCCAACTGCGGCTGAACAGGCTCGAGAACATCATCTAGAGGCCACAAAGTACACCTGTACTCTGAAGAGGCAAACAAACCTCTCTGGCAGCTGGTTAAACAAAACACACGGACCCTCCATGCTCTTATTTATAACCTCGCCCACACAGCAGAGGAGGAGACCTGAGCAGAGGAGACGCTGCCACACAGACACACAGACAGACAGTAACAACTGGCTGCAGGAATGAAGCTGCAGCGCTCAGGTCACACGGATGGTTTGTGAGAAATCAGTCTTCAAATACCTCTGACACACTGATTTGGAACATGTTTTTGAACATATATATTACATATATGTGTTTTTTCTGACTGAAAATGTCACCTCAAAATGATCCAGTTGCATTTTTTAAAGCTGGCTGCTGATGCAGTCTATTTTACAGTTCTGTATACGTTTTAATTCAATAAAATAGCAAAATGCATTGTTAAAAAACATAATTTTAATTAATATAAAGTTCTCCAATTCCTCAACTACACCCACAGCATAATGCCATACCCCCAATAGTTTTGTCTTATCTTAAGAAAGCCTTAGAAAAGTATGCAAAAAGTTCATGCCTGCACATACTCCAGCACTGCTAAAACTCTGGCATGATAAATCATACAGTCATATCTAAAATAAAAAGAAGTCTGCAGACGCTTGGGCGTAACGGAGATCCCAAGACTCGTATCTACTCACAAATATCTCCTTGAAGACCTGAGCAGCAGTGATGAATAGCCAGTATCAAATCATCCATAATATTCATTTGGACCCACCACTGACACCGAACCACAGTGTCCTGTACGTGTGACAGTGTCTATGTGTCATCACATCATCACTCTTAGGTGTATGTAACTGACCGGGCTGACCAGGGGAGAGAAAGAAGGGGGGATCATCACCCCCCGCCACCTCATGGATCAGCCTCACTGCTCGATCAGCCCTTTTTTTCACATTGATTTTGTAGAATTGAAACCTAATCCTCTCTAGTGCTGTAGTTTGGCAACATGAAATAGTCTATATCAATTCACTACATAAGCAAAGCAGATTGTGATCCTATGTGATTATTGATCACAATAAATAAAATAAGAATGCCAAAAAAAAACAATCTTTATATAAATTTGAAAAAAAAATCACCTGCGCAAATAATACCTTCATATCATATCTATAAGAAAACTTTAGTGGTCTGTAGTATACAGTAGAGCACTGCAGCACTTTCTCTACATGTGGTAAGCTTCTCAATGTAAGGCTCTGTGAGTTATAGACGTTTTAACACTTAATTAAAGCAAACTTTTCAATTGTAATCAGTAAAAATTATCTTATTATCATTTGGCAATTCAAATGATAATAATCACTTATAATGTGCAGTGAGGCTTGCACCATCATGCCACCATTTAAATGATTTTGCTAACTGAGCAAATGGGTGCTGCAGCTTTCAGTTTACCAACTCTGTGCTCACAACAACAATATCCTGTATTTTACAGAGAAATAACCATCAGCCCATTCAGAGATGTTTTATTCTCTCTACCTTGCGTTTGGCTCCTCTGGTTCCTCTGCGGTGCTGCAGTTAAGACCGCAGGCGGTAGAAGCTGCTGCAGCTCCAGTCCCTGTCCGTCCACCGGGATGAGGGACACGGGGGTCTGTCTCTGCCCTGGACAGCTGCTGTCCGCTCAGTCCTGCTGCTGTCTGATCGATCCCACAGCGGTGCGGCTCCGGGGGCGCGCAGCGGGGATGCGCATGGACCCTACAATCAATTAGTCATGAGATCATTTCAAAGCTAAATATGCTGCTTATTACCAGCCTGTAACTTATGTGATAAATAAAGGTGAAATTACAGATTGATCACTATTAATGTATGTTTTAAATTATTAGAATATTGACCTTATTATTATAATTTAGTTATGTTATAGTTTATAGATACTTTTTATAGATATTTTTTTCTACAAAGTAGTGTTTCATCTACTTCTTTTTTTGATTGATTGATTAACTAATTGTGCATTATATACAGAATACATATATTATAAATATATATCTTTATAAATTGTAAATATATATATATATATATATATATATATATATATATATATATATATTTACAATATTGTCTGATTGTCTATCTTATCTAACAACTCTTCCATGCAGTGTGAATTATATAACATATATTTAAGAGAGTTTAAAATGTATGAATAAAGAATAAATAACACTGTGAAGTAATGGTAATTTTAGAATGTCATTCTTTATTATTTACAATCTTATGTCCATTGTCTCTTTTTTTTGTGGTTTTTTTTGGTTGTTCCAAATAACAGTCCGAACCAAATGTAATCTTAAAAAAAAACATTTTAACATTTCTGATCTTATCGAAATAATATTCAATATGATTGTCTCATACAATCTGAAGCCTTGCTGTGCAAAGTGACTTGTTTGTATCCTTCATATTTGCTTCAACCCCACAGTGGCCTGAAGATGCTTCACATGCCACTGCTGTTTACATCACGGCTTCCTTTCTCGTGGGAACGATGAAGTTGAGCTTATTATAAAGTCACACAAAGGAAGTTGCTTAAGAGGAAAAGCTTCATGCATCTCAGCTTTATTCTGAGAATGCTGTCTGAAGCAGAGTATTTAGCTAAACACTAACGTTCTTTTATATGGTTATAAGTCTTTGAAAAACATACATACTGGGTATGAGATAATTGCAGGTTAATTTGCTGATATATATTCTTTGAAAAAGCTCAACGTTTAGGGGACTTTCATATCAATTTCCTGTTTAGGTCAGAGGTTGCCACAAAAAAAAAAATGATGTGACTGATGTCACTGAGAAAAACCAAAGGTTGCAATT